CGAAAGAACGAACGAACAAACAAACAAACGAACAAAAGAACAAACGAACAAACAAACAAACAAACGAGCGAACAAGCGAACAAACGAACAAACGAACAAACGAACAAACGAACAAACGAACGAACGAACGAACGAACAAACGAACGAACGAACGAATAAACGAACGAACAAACAAACGAACAAGAGCTTGAGTTTGTTTAGAACATGAAGGAATCTTTAGATCAACGAATGGAATCCAAATGAAAGCTTAGTTTCAACAATGAAAATGTTTCGTTAGCAAACCAATACAGTAGTTGAAAGCTATAAAAATTTAACGAAAAGCTTCTCTAGAGACTCTTTTGACGCAAATATTATTGACTTCAAAGAAACAAAGTTGGGTAAACCAAGATTTTGCTTTTTCAAAATCCTTGCAATTTCTTTTCTTTTCAAAATCCGAACGCAAAGACGAAATCTCAATTTAGACGCTTGATTGGATGTTTTTTCCGGATGAACTTTTAATTTAAAGTAAGAAAAAAAAGTGATTTCCATCTCGATGATCAAAACAGAGATTTCGAATTCGAAAAAATAATGAAAAAGAGAAATTTTGATAGAAAAAACTAAAGGATTTTATTAAATTTATGTTTTTTTTTACATTAAAATCGGATAGTAAAGTTTAACAGAGGTAATTGCCTTGTTTTCTCTTCAATAGAAGCTATTCTCTTCAACTTCTCTTCAACTGTCCAAATTTGAGTAAAGTATTCAAAGTCCCTTGCTAATTAGCTGCAAAATGCTAGAAAAAGTAAAAGCTGGGACCGAACTCTGGTCTTGTGAGTCCTACGCCTACCCGTTACGGGAGTCCTACGCGTCCTACGCGTTACGGGAATCCTACGCGTTACGGGAATCCTACGCGTTACGGGAACCTACGCGTTACGGGAATCCTACGCGTTACGGGAATCCTACGCGTTACGGGAATCCTACGCGTTACGGGAATCCTACGCGTTACGGGAATCCTACGCGTCCTACGCGTTACGGGAGTCCTACGGGTCCTACGCGTTACGGGAGTCACGGGAGTCCTACGCGTTACGGGAGTCCTACGCGTTACGGGAGTCCTACGCGTTACGGGAGTCCTACGCGTTACGGGAGTCCTACGCGTTACGGGAGTCCTACGCGTTATCCAGTAGGCCACCAAACTACCTGTCATGCACTGGAAAAAGAAGCTTTTAAAGCTTTTAAAGCTGAGTTCCCTTTTCCAAGTAAAGCTAAAACTAACAAAAGAATGATGGCCAACTCGTATATAAAGCGTATATAAGGCGGCCAATTTGTATATAAGGCGGTCGATTTGTATATAAGGCGCCCAATTCACATATAAAGCGTATATAAGGCGGTCAACTCGTATATAAGACGTATATAAGGCGACCAATTCGTATATAAGGCGGCCGATTTGTAAATAAGGCGCCCAATTCGTATATAAAGCGTATATAAGGCGGCCAACTCGTATATAAGACGTATATAAGGCGACCAATTTGTATAGAAAGCGTATATAAGGCGGCCAATTCGTATATAAGGTGGCCGATTTGTACATAAACCGTTTATAAGGCGGTCAACTCGTATATAAGGCGGTCAACTCGTATATAAGACGTATATAAGGCGGCCAATTTGTACATAAGGATTTGTACAAACTAAATTTATCAACAAATCTAGAAAAAGAATCAGAATTTCTTTTTCTGTGGTGAGGTTTGGGAGCAGCTGAAAACGATTCTGTCTCATTTTTTTTATAGCTTTGTAGATTAAAAAAGTCAGTAACCCCGGAAGATTTAGAGGTTTTGAAGAAAAAAAGTACCTGTTTAACTTCGGTTTTCGCTCAAAATCGAACTCTTTTCAAAGCCAGTGCCCCAATCGTTTTATTTTCGAACAAAAACTATCAAAATTTGTTTCAAATCTTCAGTGTAAACGTCTCATTTTGTAATCTTTATTGCGTTTTTCGCTCCCTACCATTTGGTTCTACATTTTTCTTTACATTATTCTGAATAAACGCTAACTGGGATCCCGTAAGCGAGTAAACTGTAAGAGAGTAAGCTGTAAGGGGGTAAACTGTAAGGGAGTGGACTGTAAGAGAGTAAGCTGTAAGGGGGTAAACTGTAAGGGAGTGGACTGTAAGAGAGTAAGCTGTAAGGGGGTAAACTGTAAGGGAGTGGACTGTAAGAGAGTAAGCTGTAAGGGGGTAAACTGTAAGGGAGTGGACTGTAAGAGAGTAAGCTGTAAGGGGGTAAACTGTAAGGGAGTAGACTGTAAGAGAGTAAGCTGTAAGAGAGTAAGCTGTAAGGGGGTAAACTGTAAGCGAGTAAGCTGTAAACAAGTAAACTGTAAACAAGTAAACTGTAAGCGAGTCAATCGCATCAAACAGACACACAAAATCTACTACTACTTCTGTTAATGCATTATTGGAATTAATAGCACTTCTTAATCGAAAGCTCTTTGGATTAAACGAAAGCTTAAAACCAATTCAAGCTTAATTACCAATTCCCTATCCACTCACCACAACAAAAACTATCAAAATTTGTTTCAAATCTTCATTTTAAACGTCTCATTTTGTAATCTTTATTGCATTTGTCTAGAGCGGCTAGAATCAGTCTAGAGCGGCTAGAATCAGTCTAGAGCAGCTAGAATCAGTCTAGAGCAGCTAGAATCAGTCTAAAGCAGCTAGAATCAGTCTAGAGCAGCTAGAATCAGTCTAGAGCGGCTAGAATCAGTCTAGAGCTGACGGATTTCTAGATAGGACGGAAGATATACTTTAAAAGGAGTGTTCCAACGAACATCTGCTTTGCTGGCTTTGCGAATTTGGCCGTCCCTCCAGGCATGCGGTGAAACACCTAGTGATCATATTATTATCGCATCGATCGTATCGTATTGTCTTCGTATTGTTGTTTGATGTATACTTTAAAAGAAGCGTTCCAACAAGCATCAGAATTTGTTTTTAAATCTTCATTTTAAACGTCTATTTATATAATCTTTATTGCATTTTTCGCGTAAATTTTGATAATTTTATCATTTTTTAAATGAATTTACATTTTTCACCTTTAAAAAAACCAAAAATACCAAAAATAGATTAAAAATTTCAAAAAAAATGAGGAAGATCGGTGATTTTCGTGGAAAAATCTTGAAAAATCTTGAAAAAACATTGATTTGGCGAGCAATTTTCAGGCAAATCCCACAAAAATGAATGAAAATGATATGTAAAACATTGAAATTAAAGAAAAATTAGCAAAAAACGATTAAAAACAAGTTTTCACCGGGGTTTTTTGGGGATAAATCAGCAAAAATCTACTGAATCGCGGATTTCTGGGAATGTTTTTGCAAAAAGTTGTCTAGTGGAAGGAGGTTTTTGGGTAAAGTAGGCTTGATTTTGGATGCTAATTGATTTTCTGAGGCTTTGATCTTGCTTTTAGGATTGTTTAGCTTTTAGGATTGTTTAAGCTTTTAGCTTTTAGCTTTTAGGATTGTTTTAGAAGTTTTGATGAGCTTCAATTGTTTAAATGGCTGCTTAAATGGCTGTTTAAATGGCTGTTGGCTGAACTGGCCGAACAAAAATTGTATTCTAAAGAAAATCTTTGAAAAAGGTGAAAAAGTTGCATTACTCTTTGAACTTTAAGTAAAGCTCTAAAAGAAATGCTCTAAAATGCTTGTATGCTCTAAAAACTAGTGGAAAAGAAAAAGCTATTGAGAAAGAAAAAGCTAAAGCTCTTGAACTATAACTACAACTACTTTAACTACCGTTTGCTCTAAAAGCTATTGAAAAAGGGAAAGCTAAAGTACTTGAACTTTAATTAAAGATACTATATGCTCTAAAAGCTATTGAGAAAGAAAAAGCTAAAGTACTTGAGCTTTAAGTACAGCTATTGTATGCTCTAAAAGCTAGTGGAAAAGAAAAAGCTATTGAGAAAGAAAAAGCTATTGAAAAAGGGAAAGCTAAAGTACTTGAGCTTTAGGTAAAGCTACTTTAACTACCGTATGCTTTAACAGCTAACAAAACAGAAAAAGGAGAAGCTCTTAAACTTTAGGTAAAGCTACTTTAACTACCGTATACTTTAACAGCTAACAAAACAGAAAAAGGGGAAGCTCTTGAACTTTAGATAAAGCTACTTTAACTACAACTACTTTAACTACCGTATACTTTAACAGCTAACAAAACAGAAAAAGGGGAAGCTCTTGAACTTTAGATAAAGCTACTTTAACTACAACTACTTTAACTACCGTATACTTTAACAGCTAACAAAACAGAAAAAGGGGAAGCTCTTGAACTTTAGATAAAGCTACTTTAACTACCGTATGCTTTAACAGCTAACAAAAAAGAAAAAGGAGAAGCTCTTGAACTTTAGGTTTTTTTTTTTGGTTACCGTAATTCTTCTAATAGATCTTCTAATTCTTTTAATAGAACTTCTCATTCTTCTCTCATTACTGGATCATTGTAAGCTAACGTAGCTAAGGGATACGGTAGGTGCCTTTTATCGAGCCGATCAACTAATGTATGCTCTAAAAGTTAACAAAACAGAAAAAGGGGAAGCTCTTGAACTTTAAGTAAAGCTACTTTAACTACCGTACGCTTTAACAGCTAAGAAAACAGAAAAAGGGAAAGCTCTTGAACTTTAGATAAAGCTACTTTAACTATTGTATGCTTTAATAGCTAACAAAACAGAAAAAGGGGAAGCTCTTGAACTTTAGGTAAAGCTACTTTAACTACAACTACTTTAACTACCGTATACTTTAACAGCTAACAAAAAGGAAAAAGGAGAAGCTCTTGAACTTTAAGTAGTTTAAGCTCTATGCTCTAAAAGCTACCGAAGAAGATTTTTGATAGAAACAAAATTTTCCTCAAAAATCTCTCCTTTATCTCCTTTTACTCCTTTTACTTGACAACTTTTTTATTCAAAATTTTAAAAATTACATTTGTTAAGTATAAAATTGAGAGTAAAGATCAAGAAAACATAAAAAAAAACATCAAAAAACAAAAGAACAAACATTCAATGTGTAAACCCGTAAAGAAAAGGATTGATGAGAGTGATGAGAAGTTGCATGTCTTTGAAAATATTCGCGTTCTCGCTCAGTTCACTAAATATTTCATTTGATTTGACGAAAGATTTGATGTGTTTAGGTTTGATTTCAAGAATTTCATATGTTTTTAATAGATTTTAAAGGGAAAGCTGTATTGGGAAGTTGGTTTTTGAGGCTTAGATGAGCACTTAGAAAAGCTAACGCTAGAGAAGCTAACGCTAGAGAAGCTAACGCTAGAGAAGCTAACGCTAGAGAAGCTAACGCTAGAGAAGCTAACGCTAGAGAAGCTAACGCTAGAGGAGCTAAAGCTAGAGGAGCTAAAGCTAGAGGAGCTAAAGCTAGAGGAGCTAAAGCTAGAGGAGCTAAAGCTAGAGGAGCTAAAGCTAGAGGAGCTAAAGCTAGAGGAGCTAAAGCTAGAGGAGCTAAAGCTAGAGGAGCTAAAGCTAGAGGAGCTAAAGCTAGAGGAGCTAAAGCTAGAGGAGCTAAAGCTAGAGGAGCTAAAGCTAGAGGAGCTAACGCTAAAGAAGCTAACGCTAGAGAAGCTAACGCTAGAAAAGCTAACAATAAGGCTAACCAGCTATTAGGCTATTGTAAGCTATTAAGTTGAAAAGAAAGTTCTCGGAAAGGGTTTAACTCGAGTTTCTTCAAAAAGAATCCATCAATTCAAGAAAGATTTTTGTTTTATTATTTACACTTAACTCTGGAGTTGTTCTAGATTGATCTGGCTTTTAGCTGGCTTAGGGATTCTAGCTGGCTTAGAGATTCCAGCTGGCTTAGGGACTCTAGCTGGCTTAGGGATTCCAGCTGGCTTAGAGATTCCAGCTGGCTTAGGGATTCTAGCTGGCTTAGGGATTCTAGCTGGCTTAGGGATTCTAGCTGGCTTAGGGAGCTGGCTTTAACTGGTTCAATGCGTTATATGATAGAAAAGATAGAGTTGTAGAGTTGTAATCTACTGAACCGCGAATTTTTAGGAATCTTTTTGTAAAAAGTTGCCTAGTGGCTGGTTGCTTTTGGGTAAAGTAGGCCTTGAATGTTCATTCATTTTTTTTCTCGTTTTTTCTCGACACTAGTTTATGCTACAATGCGCGCTTAGGTATCAAAAAATAGCTGAAATTCAGGGCTATTTTTTGATACCAAAGAGAGCATTGTAGCATAAACCAGTGTCGAGAAAACCTCCTTCAAAGCTAGACTACCCAACACTCCGCACCGTCCTTATGGGAGTGGGGTACTATTACAGTATTTACTGTATTCGCTTTAAACAAATTCCAGTGAAACTCTTTCCAAGAACTTTCTTGTAAACTTAATCAAATCAAAACTGATCAAAGGAATCTAGAGAACTGATCCCTAGTGACATTAGGTTATCAAATAATTAGAATTCAATCTAATTCAATTCAATTTTCATCAAGTTATGCATCGATTTACAAAGCTTTTAAGCGTTTAAGCATTGCTTTACTTTGTACTTTGTACTTTGTACTAATCGTTGAAAGTATTCAAAAGAAAAGCCAGTCAATCTCTTTCCAAGAACTTTCTTCTAAACCTAATCAAATCAAAACTGATCAAAGGAAGCTAGAGAACTGATCCCTAGTGACATTAGGTTGTCAAATAATTAGAATTCAATCAACCATTCAATTCAATTCAATCTTTATCAAGTTATTCATCGATTTACAAAGCTTTTAAGCGTTTAAGCATTGCTTAGCTTTACTTTAAGCATTGCTTAACTTTACTTTAAGCATTGCTTAACTTTACTTTAAGCATTGCTTAGCTTTACTTTAAGCATTGCTTAACTTTACTTTAAGCATTGCTTAACTTTACTTTAAGCATTGCTTAACTTTACTTTAAGCATTGCTTAACTTTACTTTGTACTTTGTACTAATCGTTGAAAGTATTCAAAAGAAAAAAACTCACTGATACAAATTCTCATTTATATAGTTCATGATGGCGAGAAAATTGTAAGGAAACCAGAAAAGAAAATGAGCGATCACGACGAGGAGTGTTGTTCGAAAGACCTAAATTAAATAGAAATGTTTTGTCGAACTTTAAATGACATTTAAATCTTTGTACTTTTTACTAATCGTTCTAGTAATTCTAGAACGATTAGTACTCGAATTACTAGTGAAATCTAAATTCTAGTGAAATGATTGTTTTAATCTCCAACTTTGCTTCGTAACTGCCTCCTCCATGCTGGCACTTTGCCCGAAAGTGTATCCGAGACTCGAGACATTTTCTTTGGTGGTGTTCCATCATCTAAAATAAATAAAATAATTAAAGTAAAGAAAGGCAAAGAAAAATTTCTTGAAGAGGGATTGAACCCTCGTGGATCAAAGGACTTTTCGATTCCCAGCCCGACGCTCTAACCACTGAGCTATCCGGTGTTATTCTACAGGTGAAAAAAGAAGGAATACAAGGAGGAAGAAAAGAAAAAACATTGTTTTTGAGAAAAATGTTTTGAAAGATTGCCGCGGGGTCGATATGAGGCTAAATTATTCTTCGCGGTCTAGAGACCCGGTGGTGTAGTGGATAGTGCGCTAGCCTCTCATCCCCTCCTTCGCTGGTTCGAATCCCGTCGCTGTCAAAATCTTTTTCCTTTTACTCAAATCAATCTTTAAATGTTTTCAAGTGTTTATAAACAGTAATAAGTGCGTTTATCTTGAAGTTATCACTGAATATAGCATTGATCTTTATTTGTTGATCTTTATCCCTTATCGTTGATCTTTATACTTTATAAACCTCTTTTTCTGGAATTTGAACATCTAGAATTTGAAAATCTCTGATTGAAATGATTTTTCAAGCAAACGCACCCTTTCCGGCGCACCTCGGTTCACCTAAACATCTCCGGTTCAATTACGCAACTTTGAAAAAAATCTAATGAAAGCTACAGTAAGCTAAACTTATTCATTAGATAATGTGCGCTCCAATATGAAAATTTTGTTTAACATGTTTAGCAAAATTCATCAAAGTCGATGAGTTTTCTAGGTGAACTCGTTTCGTCAAAGAAATCACTTCCAATTTTGAGGCTAGCCTCTTAAATGAATTCTTTTTCTACAAATTGGATGTCATACTGTAGTTTGATAAAAGAAAAGACGTTTTTTACGGTACTTTTACTATTTACTTTTTTTTACTATACTATGTAGACTGAATATCTTAAATTTTGAGTAGAGTAGCTAAAAAATTGTTTATTAGATAGTGTGACTTCCAGCTTCAGCTTTCCAGAAGTATAAAGCAGTAAAATCTATCAGAAAAAGTTTTAAAAGCTACGGTAGATATCAAAGCCAGATTTATCCCTTTCCTACTCAAAAATTCTCCATTAGATAGTGTGACTTCCAGCTCGGTCATTTCCCATTATATATTTCATATATCCCTTTAGAATTCTTTCTTTTCCTCTCTAGACTCACCTTTTGAAAAGATATTGTCCATACTGTGTCCATTTCGGTGAAAATATTTCGTAAATGGAAGAGCACTGCCTAATCTTGAACTCGATCTCAATCCAGGGCTGGGCACTCGTTCACTGTATCGGTCAAAAGATCGTCGAATACCCGAAATCTAAAGAAATTCAAGGCTTTAAAGCACAAAAATCAGGTATAGTTTCAATATTTTCAGAGCTTAAAGAGTTTTCAGAGCCAAAATTGCTCAAAAGTCTCAGTTTTTACAAAGAAAACACAACAATTTCACAATATTTTAAATTCAATCAGGGTTTCATAACAAAAAAGAGATGAAAACGATCGTTTCTCGGAATCTTAACATGCCAAACTTTACTCTTTCTCTTTCTTACTAAGAATTTACATGATAATCGATCTTATTAGACCAGTTTTATATCATAAACAATCTTGCTAAACCAGTCTTACACAATAATCGATTTTACTAGACCAGTTTTACATCATAAACAATCTTATTAGATCGATTTTACATCATAAACAATCTTATTAGACCAGTCTTACAGTCTTTTATATCATAAACAATCTTACTAAACCAATTTTACACCATAAACATTCTTATTAGACCAGTTTTACATGATAATCAATCTTATTAAACCAATTTTACACGATAATCGATCTTATTAGACCAGTTTTGCATCATAAACAATCTTATTAGGCCAGTTTTACATCATAAACAATCTTACTAAACCAATTGTACACGATAAACCTTCTTACTAGACCCGTTTTACATCATAAACAATCTTATTAGACCAGTCTTACAGTCTTTTATATCATAAACAAACTTACTAAACCAATTTTACACCATAAACATTCTTATTAGACCAGTTTTACACAATAATCGATCTTACTAAACCAATTGTACACGATAATCGATCTTATTAGACCAGTTTTATATCATAAACAATCTTACTAAACCAATTTTACACAATAATCGATCTTATTAAACCAATTTTACACCATAATCGATCTTACTAGATCGGTTTTATATCATAAACAATCTTACTAGACCAGTTTTACATGATAATCGATCTTACTAAACCAATTTTACACAATAATCGATCTTATTAAACCAATTTTACACCATAATCAAATCGTAAACTCGAACCTCATGCGGGTTAGATAACGTGCGAGTTGCGATAACGTTTACCCGCGGTGTGCTGTGGCGATCGATGGATACAGTCGTGGAAGCAGTTTCGAATTCTAAAGAGCAGCGATACTTTTTGATATAGATAAGTTTGATATCAATTTTGATATAGTTTCTAAATGTTAAAACAAGTTTTTGATTGTATAGACTGGTTTAGAAGTTCTGGAAAAGGTTAGAAGTTCTAGAAAGTGAAAAAGGGAAGTCAGATTGGGCAGGATTCCGCTCAGCGCCAGGCTTCTAATTGAATCGAATCGTTTTCGTCATCTCAAACGGTTTTATCAGGGATTACTGTAGAGTTTGGCTGCTAGGTTCCCGGATTGCTGTAGAATTTGGCTGCTATTGGTTTCCGGATTACTGTAGAGTTTGGCTGCTATAGGTTCCCAGGATTACTGTAGAGTTTGGCTGCTAGGTTCCAGGACTACGGTAGAATTTGGCTGCTATAGGTTCCCAGGATTACTGTAGAATTTGGCTGCTATTGGTTTCCGGATTACGGTAGAGTTTGGCTGCTAGGTTTCAGGATTACTGTAGAATTTGGCTGCTATAGGTTCCCAGGATTACTGTAGAATTTGGCTGCTATTGGTTCCCAGGATTACTGTAGAATTTGGCTGCTATTGGTTCCCGGATTACTTTAGAATTTGGCTGCTATTGGTTCCCGGATTACTGTAGAATTTGGCTGCTATAGGTTCCCAGGATTACTGTAGAGTTTGGCTGCTATAGGTTCCCAGGATTACTGTAGAGTTTGGCTGCTATAGGTTTCCAGGATTACTGTAGAATTTGGCTGCTATTGGTTTCCGGATTACTGTAGAATTTGTGTACTGTAAGTTCCAGGATTACTCTAGAATTTGGCTGCTATAGGTTTCCCGATTACTGTAAAATTTGAGTGCTGTAGGGTTTTGCCTGTAGTGCTGAGTGCTGTAGGTAACTGTACGCATTGTACGCATTGTACTGTCGATTTCCGCTTTGCTATCTGGCTTATAGATTGTTGAGGGACTACCGTAGGTGACTAATCTATAAGTAAATTCATAAACACTCACGATGCAGTGAGATCGATTGCTCAACACCAGACGGTCCAGAAGTCATATCCGGGCGAATCATGGGACTCTAAATGGTTCATAAAAACTTAATAAACAAGATTTTCTTATACGAGTTCTATTCATTGATAAGTTTTAAGTCAAAAATAGCTCTTGAATTACTTTAAATTGAATATTGGACTTTCTAAGCATCAAGAAGTGCAAAACTTGACTTTCTAAGCATTATTAGGTTCAAAACTTTAACTTCCTACGCATTTTTGTCCTAAACTTTAACTTTCTAAGTCTCAAAGCCTTTCTAAGCCTTTCTAAGCCTTTCTAAGCCTTTTTAAACCTTTCTAAGCCTTTCTAAGTCTTTTTAAACCTTTCTAAGCTTTTCTAAGCCTTTCTAAGCCTTTCTAAGCCTTTCTAAGCCTTTCTAAGCCTTTCTAAACCTTTCTAAACCTTTGTAAGCCTTTCAAAATCCTTCTTCTTGAATAATTTCCTTTGCAATGTACCAGAAAATCGTTTTTCAGACTTAAATAAGCAAGAATTTGGGACAATTTTGAGAAAAAGTATAGAGAATTTGGCTTTATCAACATTTTCCGACATTCCTTCAGGTTTTGAAGGTTTTTTTCCGATTTGTTCCCTGTTCTGGAACATCTGTTTCAGATGAAATCCTTAATCTTTCCCATCTTTAATATAATTTTTATAGATTTATATCATCTAGTACTTGTTTTACTTTCATCTAGTACTTCCCTTCATCTAGTACTTCCCTTCAGCTAGTACTTCCCTTCATCTAGTACTTCCCTTCATCTAGTACTTCCCTTCAGCTAGTACTTCCCTTCATCTAGCATTTCCCTTCATCTAGCATTTCCCTTCATCTAGTACTTCCCCTTAATCTAGTACTTCCCTTCAAATTTCCCTCTTCAATATGCTTTTTTTCCTCACCGGTTGTCCAGGCGCTCTTCTTGAGTATTTCACTAATCGAATCGCAATGATGACGTAGCATTTAATGAGAACAATTAGTGGACCCCAAAAGACGAAAAACTGAAATAAAATTGATGAATTTTGAAAGAATTCGAGATAGAATTTGAAGAAAAGGAAGAAAATTAGGGATAATTAATGATCTAGAGTTTAAATAAACAGAAATAGATGAATTGAAATGAATTCCCGAATAGAGTTAGGGTTCTTTCAAGTGAATTTCTTTTTCTTTAAACTCACCAAATGTGAAATATCATAAGCGGATGACATGACAGTGCTGTACAAAAAACCGTAATCACTTTCCTTTGCCCGACCAAAGTGGATCAGATGTCTGAAGATTGAAGATGAAATTGTATTTTAGATTTAAAGATTTCAAGCTTAGAAAGGCTTGGACTAGAGCCTTTATAACGTTAAGTTAAGCCACCGCTGGTTACTGGTTACCGCTGGTTACTGGCTACCACTGGTTACTGGCTACCACTGGTGACTGGCTACCACTAGCCACCGCTGGTTACTGGCTGGTTACTGGCATTCTTGGTTACTCGGTAGCCAAGTGGTAAGTTGGCGTTCAATGCTATGACGTTGGCGTCCAATACTACGAGCTGTCCAATGCTATGACCCCTAGGTTCAATCCCGCGCTCGCCTTCTTTTTCTTTTCAGTTCTTTTAAAGTCTTATTCTTTATTTTCTCTAATAGTAGTGCACCGAGCCGAGTTGATGACAATTTTACGGCTTCCAAGCTTCTGCAGAAGCTCAACACTCTAATCCCCAACTAGATCTCATCCTCAGCTACATTTTCCGACCTCACATCGATAGGTTTTGATAAGCGGTTCTCGAGATTTCGAGGAATTTAGGTAAAGCTTACTATTACATTACTATTAGAGAAAATAGAGTATATTAAACTAATCTTAATTTATAAACAAGAAAAAGTCGATGAAATTTCTCAGCAAAAACAGTCAACAGTTAAAGCAATAGTTTAAAAGTGTTTCAAATAGAGAAAAACTAATATAGAGACAATAATTATGGAGTTTTATCTTTCGTTTATCGTTTAGATTGTGTTTGTACTGTTTTGCAAAAGAGAAATTCGAGGGATTGAACCTATGGGAGCAATCTAGCAATCGCTTTGTAACCTAGGGGAGCAGTAGCAATCGCTTTGTAACCTAGGGGAGCAGTAGCAATCGCTTTGTAACCTAGGGGAGCAGTAGCAATCGCTTTGTAACCTAGGGAATCAGTAGCAATCGCTTTGTAACCTAGCAGTAGCAATCGCTTTGTAACCTAGGGAATCAGTAGCAATCGCTTTGTAACCTAGGGGAGCAGTAGCAATCGCTTTGTAATCTAGGGAAGCAGTAGCAATAGCTTTGTAACCTAGCAGTAGCAATCGCTTTGTAACCTAGGGGAGCAGTAGCAATCGCTTTGTAACCTAGGGAATCAGTAGCAATCGCTTTGTAATCCAGGGGAGTAATCTAGCAATCGCTTTGTAACCTAGGGGAGTAATCTAGCAATCGCTTTGTAACCTAACAACTTACCATTCGGCTATCGAGTGACAGAGATTCGAAGCTTAACTTCACCTTATTTCGCCTCTCAAAACTTTTTGTTTTATTTTCTTTTGGTAAAAATTAATTGAGATTAACTTAAAATAGCTAAAGAAACAATGAAAATTTAAAAAAAACTATAATAACTTAATTATGGACTCAACTGAGTCAAGTAAAGGCTTGATTCAAGTAGAGTTCAAGTAGAGATCTAGGAATTTTGCGTAATAACAAGTGTCAAAGCTTAGCAGCCTAGTCTGGATTGTTTTTTTTTGGCTTCTTTTGAACATTTGTGCTAACCATTTGATAAGAAAAACCGTCTCACTTCTTGATCATCCAGATATCGGTGCATTGTGAGAAGCCTGGCACCACCTCTTGCACATCCCAGACGATTAGCTGTGGAATTGACCAGAGAATCGCCAAAAACCATGAACCAATCAAAAGCAGATGCACCACACTTCCCTAAATGAGATTCTTATTGTAAAAAGAAAGATTACAAACATTTGCGCCTTTTCCTCTTCTCAATTTGCTTGCGCCGAGGACATTTCTAAGTCGATCCAACGCTATACAAACGACGATATTCGACGAAATGTATAGTGAAACCATTGAGCCGAAATTGTAGAGTTTGCACAAAGCTGAGCCCCCTGAAAATCGATTTCAATGTAATGTACTGTACTGTACTAAACGTCTGTTTGTCTGTCTGTCTAATCTGTCTGTTTGTCTCTCTGTCTGTCTGTTTGTCTGTCTGTCTGTCTATCTGTCTGTCTGTCTGTCTGTCTAATCTGTCTGTCTAATCTGTTTGTCTCCATGACGCCTGTAGACCTAAAACTCTGGTCAAAATACACTAGAGACACTACACTACAAAATACACTAGATCTCGACCTACAAGCGTCCGAGCAACTTGCGGTTAATTTCATTCGATTCCTCATCAAATTCTACTATATAATGAGCAATATTAGATTAAGCGCTTACTTATAAAAATATCGAGAAAACCGGTGTTTTACATGACTCCAGTCTCTATAGTATAACACCGGTTTTCTCGATATTTTTATAAGTAAGCGCTTAATCTAATATTGCTCACTATATAGTAGAATTTGATGAGGAATCGAATGAAACCAACCGCAACTCGCTCGGACGCCTGTAGGTCAAGATCTAAAACTCCGGCCTCTGTAGTCTATTTTGACCGGAGTTTTAGGTCTACAGGCGTCCGATCGACTTGCGATTGGTTTCATATTGTAGCTTGAGATTCGTACTGTAATTTGATGCATATCGTAGCTTAAGTTTCGTACTGTAATGCCAATAGTTGTACCCTAATTTGCCAAGATTCTTGTGGTTCTGAAGGTATTTTCCTTTTTTCTTTCTTCTTCTTCCTTGTGTTTCCTTTTTCTCTTAATAGATCAAGCTACCGGATGCCTCAGTGGTTAGAGGCTAGAGCCTGGAAAGCAGGAGATCGAGGGTTCAATCCCGTCTCTTTTTTCTTCCTTCTTTGTCGTGTTTCCTTTTTCTCTCAGCAATTCAAGCTACCAAATGGCTCAATGGTTAGATGCCGGAATCGAAAGGTCGAGCTTAGGCTTCCCTCTTCCAAATCAACTTTTTCTTTTCCTTCACTTCTTTATTCCTTCACTTCTCTTTTTCTATCGTAATCTATTCCCAAACTTACAAGGCCATTGATACGTCAACAACCATAAACTCTATTCCTTTACTTCTATTTCCTTTACTTCTCTTTCTCTATCGTAATCTATTCCCAAACTTACAAGGCCATTGATACGTCAACAACCATAAACTCTTTATTCCTTTACTTCTTTATTCCTTCACTTCTCTTTTTCTACCGTAATCAATTCCCAAACTTACAAGGCCATTGATACATCAACAACCATAAAAGCTTTCCAAATGCCAAAATGCACAAAAGAAGTAAATCGGAGATGTTCAAATTGATCTTCAGTATGAGGAAACCAGCCTAAAATTGTTTTTTTTAAATGCTAAAACAAAAATAGCTATTTTAAATGTGAAATTTACTATGTGAAAGCGGAATTTCGGGAATAATTTAAGGGAATTGGTTGAAAGGGAATTGGTGGGGGAAAATTGGTGAAAAGCGAATTTGGTAGTGAGCAATGAAAGGGGAAAAAAAGGGGGAAAAAGGAGGAAAAAGGAGGAAAAAGGAGGAAACAATCGAGTATTTAAGGAAATCGGTGAATAGCACGTTTGCAAGATTTTCTTATATAAAAAGCTCGCTTTTCAATGAAACATTCATTTAAATAGATTGATCACTGAAGTCATGAGGAAAAAATAGTTAATTCCTTGCTCGTTTTTCTCTTTTAAACTTAGATTTTCTCAAATAAGTGTAAATTTTTTGAGCTCGATTTTGATTACCCAATTTTAATGCTTTAAAAATAGCGATTTTAGCCTAAATAGCCATGCCTTAACTAGCTTAAAATCAGCTGTAAACAAACCCTTTCTCGTGCACTGAAACAGTGCAGTTATAGATCAAAGTATTGAGGAAAAACTGACCTTAACACTGTCTTTTGGCGTTCGTTTTAAATCCTGACACAATCTCCTGAGAATGAAACAATTCGACGGTGTTCCGACAATGATCACAAAGCATAGATAAATCATTTCAATATAGTCTGCTGTTAATGCAGACGGGATTTCCATTTCCTTTTGTTGATCTTCTGAAGGATTTGTTTCATTTCTGAGTGTCTCGTAAATCGACGAGGAATCGTTTTCCATTAACTAAAAGAATTTGTTAAGCAAAAAAAGTTAAGCAAGTTTAAGATAAGAAAATTATGAACAAAGAAAGAAATAAAGAAATAAAGAAAGAACGAAAGAAAGAAAGAAAGAAAGCAACAAACAAAGCAAGAGCCTTCAGTCTTTTTACAGTTATTGTCTACAATTGTCTACTGTAAGACTATATTAAATAGAAAGAAAGAAAGCAAGAAATCTAAGCCTTTGAGACGATAAGATGATAAGACGATAGGATGGATCATCAAAAATCAAGAACGGATGATCAAAAATCATCCGTTCTTATCGTCTCAAAGGCTTCTCAAATGTAAGCCTGTAACAGAAGTGAGCCTTTAACAGAAGTGAGCCTGTAATGCCTGAGAAGAGATCGAAGAGACATCAAGTATTTGATTACATGATACCAAATACTTGATGGTTGGACGCGTCTAGATTCACTCATTCATAATTGGCTGAAATTCATCATTTCCCTGGATCTGGCAAAGTCTGACTCAACTCCAGAAGCGCTAAGTCGAAAAAGTCTTCGTCAAGTTAACACTTAACACCAGTCCGAAGTTCTAGACCCATCCTTCAAACCTGTTTTTGATTAACTAATTCCAGACGATATATCGTCAACTATTGACTTCTTATAGCCCAAATCTAATTCAAACTAAAGTCAAACTAAAGTCAAACTAAAGCTAAACCAAAGCCAAACTGAAGCCAAACTAAAGCCAATCTAAAGCCAAACTAATGCTAAACTAAAGTCAAACTACAGCTAAACCAAAGCCAAACTGAAGCCAAACCAAAGCCAATCTAAAGCCAAACTAAAGCTAAACTAAAGCCAAACTGAAGCCAAACTAAAGCCAAACTGAAGCCAAACTGAAGCCAAACTATAGCCAAACTATAGCCAAACTATAGCCAAACCAAAGCCAATCTAAAGCCAAACCGAAGCTAAACTAAAATCAAACTAAAGTCAAACTAAAGCTAAACTGAAGCCAAACTGAAGCCAAACTAAAGCTAAACTAAAGCCAAACTAAAACTAAAGTCAAACTAAAGTCAAATTAAAGCCAAATTAAAGTCAAACTAAAGCTAAACTAAAGCTAAACCAAAGCCAATCTAAAGCCAAACTAAAGCTAAACTAAAGCCAAACTAGAGCCGAACTGACGCCAAACCAAAGCCAAACTGAAGCCAATCTAAAGCCAATCTAAAGCCGAACTAAAGCTAAACCAAAGTCAACCCAAAGCCAACCTAAAGCCAAACTAAAACAACCTAAAAACTCTCAGAACCTAAATTGTACTCAATCTTCTAAAAGTAACATTGAAAAGCTTAAAACCACCTTAAATTGTTTTCCATTTCTATTCAAGACAAAAATAAAGCCCGGAAATTTTTGTCTAAAGAAAAGTGAGAAAATGAGAAAGAAAAAACAATGAGTTGTTCAGAATGAGCTGCATTTGAAACGGATGGAAGAAAGGGGGAAGAAAAAGGGTCAAAGAACGGGTGTTTGTTTAGGGAAAAGGAAAAGAAGTGAAGGTAAATTTAGTGAAAATTGTAATCTTTTTGCTTAAACGTGGCTTTTGTCTGTGCTTAAACTTGAAATTTTATCTTAATATGACTTATGCATCAACCTAATAGTAATGCAATAGTAAGCTTCACCTAAATTCCTCGAAATCTCGAGAACCGCTTATCAAAACCTATCGATGTGAGGTCGGAAAATGTAGCTGACGATGAGATCTTGTAGGGGATTTGGGTGTTGAGCTTTTGTGAAAACTTTGAGAGCCGTAAAATAGTCACCAACTCTGGGATGCTGGTCACCAACTCTGGGATGCTGGTCACCAACTCTGGGATGCTGGACACCAACTCTGGGATGCTGGGGTGCACTACTATTAGAGAAAATACGGTATTTTCAATTTTCCTATAGAGGAGAAGATATCAAAGGGAAAGATGAATGGGAACCGACCGATCGACCGGTGGGATGGGAAAATGGGAATGGGATGTGGAAATTGATATGGATTGGGATAGTAATCAAAATTTGATACGGATTACTACGTGTACTTCTAGAAATTTCCACAATTTTCAAGTCGCTTTGAAATTCTGGATGCGACTTAGGGTCGCAAGTTGCTATAAAAGGATTTTATAGCAAAAAATAAGATTCGATAAAGAAAAATCGATAATAAATCGTAAATAAGTGAATAAATAACAATAAATAACAAGATTTAATAAATATAAATAGATTAATTGTTAAATTTATGACGAAAAAAGCTTTTGTTTTTCGAAATTTTTGTTTAAAAGGTTTCCTTTTGGTGTCGAATTGGTGAATTTTCGTGAGAATTCACTTTTTTTGATCTTTCTATCTTGAATTTCTCTTTTCTTTTCTTTCTTTTCTTTCTTTTCTTTCAATTCTTAACCTTCACACAGAAATTTGTTGAGAAATTGTTGAATAATTAAACATTTTTTGCTCGTCAACGATTGTGTTTTGTAGTTTTCGGTTGATCAAACTTAGTTTTTCGTTTTTTATTGGGTTGAAGATCAACTTTTTGAATAGTAAAGCTTAGGTATTTAGTTGAATATCTTAAAAAGTTTAGAAAAATTGAAAATGTGAAATAAAGCAAATAAGGCAAAGTATTGGGAGAAGCCAGATGCGATCGGGGAAAAATGAGATTTTTTCTGGGAAGATGAAAGAAAAAGACGTGAAAATATACTTTCGTCTTTATAGGTATTGGAGTTTTTTTAACCCATTTGAACGCGGGGATTAGAGGTGAAAATGGGGAAAATAATGGGGGAATTGTTGAAAAAAGAAATGCGACAATGTGGAGGGGAAATTTGGGCTCAAAATTTCGATCGGAGATCGGGAGAATTCGGGATTAGTTATAGGAATTTGGTGGCTAGGTGCTAGGAAACTTGGGCAAGGAAACTTTGGGCTAGGAAACTTGGGCTAGGAAACTTTGGGCTAGGAAGCTTGGGCTAGGAAACTTGGGCTAGGAAGCTTGGGCTAGGAAACTTGGGCTAGGAAACTTTGGGCTAGGAAACTTGGGCTAGGAAACTTGAGCTGAGAAACTTTGTACGAGCGGTATGTTGGCGCTATCATTTTTCAAGTGGGAATGGTCGACTATTGGCTTTGGGTGTGAGGGTTGGGGCACTTGTGTGGATCGTTGTGGTTGTTGTTTTACCTGAATGAATGAGACGGAAGAAAGAGGAGGATCCAGTTCATTTACGCAAAAAAATCACTATTCTTGTAAAAGTTTCGATAAGAAACGAAATGGACTGTAAAATGGGCTTGATTTTGAGTATCTTTTTCAAATTAGCCTTGTGATTTGATTAAAAACAATGAGTTATTCATTTGTGAGCTAGATTTGGCTTAAACTGTTTTATTTCAAATAAATTTCAATTGGAAGACTTAATCAAAACGAATTTTAATCGATTCCCCAACCCGGAAAACAAATTTTAGATTACAATTCCACAAAAAACTTTACAGTGTTTTGTGGCTTGATTTTCTTAGGATTGGTTTATCCAATTAAGCTTTATTTGATCTCATTTGAAAGCCTGAATCATTCTCTAAACAACGATATAAAGAAAGTAAAAGTATCTAATCTCTATCAAAAGTTATAGAGTTTTAAAAGCGGCTTGATTTTCTTGATTTTTCTTGAAAACTTTACAGTCTTTTGTCCCTTGATTTTCTTAGGATTCATTTGTTCATTTAAGCTTTATTTGATCTCATTTGAAAGCCTGAATCATTCTCTAAACAACGATATAAAAAAAATAATAATAATACAATCTCCATAAAAAGTTATAGGGTTTTAAAAGAGGCTTGATTTTCTCAGGATTCATTTATTCAATTAAGCTTTATTTGAGCTCATTTGAAAGCTTTATTATATTAAACTATATGAAAGCTGAAAGCTCATTTGAAAGCCTGAATCATTCTCTAAACAAAGATATAAAAAAATAATAATAATACAATCTCCATAAAAAGTTATAGAGTTTTAAAAGCGAGTCGAATCATTGAATCTACTCATTTTTTTTAGCTCATTTAAACGCGGGGATTAGAGGTGAAAATGGGGAGAAAGAATGGGGGAATTGTTAAAAAAAGAAATGCGACAATGTGGGCGGGAAATTTGGGCTCAAAATTTCGATCGAAGATCGGGAGAATTCGGGATTAGTTATAGGAATTTGGTGGCTAAAAGAAAAGAATGAGATCCGGTTCATTTACGCAAAAAAAACCACTATTCTTGTAAAAGTTTCGATAAGAAACGAAATGGACTGTAAAAAGGGCTTGATTTTGAGTATTTTTTGCAAGTTAGTCTTGTGATTTGACTAAAAAACTAACAAAATAACAAAAAAACCAGCTTATTCTTGAACTTTTTCCTTTTCTTTAGCTTTTTTCAGGAATCTTTAAGCTGACAAAGATTGAAATTATGTAAAAACTCTCAAATTATTGTAGATTTATACTATTTCAATTGAAAAACTTCAAAAACTAGAATCAATTGGCGCTATGGGGAGTCGAACCAGGGTCGTGTGGGCTGGAAAAGCTCTTTGTCGCCGTGGCGCAGTGGGGAGGGAGCTTGTCTCCAATCCGACACCCTATACCCCCAGGGTCCGGGTTCGACTCCCCTAACTGCCATTTGATTCTTTTTTTTTCATTTTTTTCATTTTTTTTACTTAAAATAACAAAATATCATTGATTTTAAGCCTTTTGAACTTAATTTAACCTTTTTTCACTTAAAGAAAGCTGAGAAAAAAAGCTTGCAAAGATTCGAAAACATGAAAATGAATGCTTTGTTTGAAAATTGATTGAATAAAGATTGTAAAAGTGAAAAGAGAGTGGTTTCTATGAATAAAATCGTCTATTAATAAAGGATTTTCTATAAAAAGAGACTTTCTTTCATGTGAAAAATGAGAAAAATGTTCAAAAAAGTATGAAAAATGTAAAAAAATGTAAAAAATTTCGTTTTTCTTTAAAGTAAGTCAGCTTTTTGTTCAATTTTTTCGATCAAATTCTTTACCAAAAACTCATTTTT